AAATTTCCTGCTGCTGCATAGTGGTTCTGTTCCACCAAAGTCAAACAATCCCGAACACATAGTACAATGAAATATTGCGGAATACTTCACATTGATTGGACACAACCAAACGGTATGACCAGGATTGCATTTTAATGTTTCCTGCTTGGGGCTTTCAGTTCAAAACATCTTGGCCACCGTTTGCAGCCATGACTCCTGACCAATTCGAAGCCTTTGTCCGCAAGATGATTGCATTTCAGTTGCCTAAGGACGCTTGATTGACCAGTGAGACCCATATACATTGGGGATAACTATATATATGTATAAAGCAGATATACATGCCCTGAATATTGTAATACTACTTGGTATTGTGATAGTTGACATCAAGGAATAAGTTTTTGGAACCTGCTATTTCAGATCGATCTACATACGCCATATGGCATCATAAACATGTCTGCTGAGGTGATCGTTCTTTTGGTGCTCCTCGTATGGTGGCACAACCTTCATGCTCCAGATGAACCGTATCAGGTCATAGAATATTTTGCTGGAGTGGGAAGAATTGCTGCAGTGGCCAAATACCAGGGATACAAAACTGCAGCTGTAGATTTGGAATATGGAAAGGATATCCCCAGAAAAAAGAAAAGAGGCAATTCCAGACCACCTATGGATCTCAATGGGTCGGCAGGCCTGATGTTACTAGACAAATGCTTAGTGAATTTGTTGTTTTTGTTTTATGCATGTTGAGTTTACAACACAAGTTGCTGCTTACATTATAGCGGTTACACCAAGAATTGCTGTTACATGCTGTACTGATTTCAATATTGGGTTCTCCCGCTACTACATGTTTCTGGAAAATTCCTTTCCAACTGCATGTGCCCTTTGTATGTTCTTGAATCGCTCAGGTTGGCTATACATCTACTTCTTTGCAGCGATTCAGTTGCAGCATTTTATGCTGTTGTATGCAGCTCCTGGGTGCCTGTGAATCGTGGATCCACACTTCGGGATATTCTTACTCCTTTGGGGAATGAAGATTATCCCAGTGTCAGACGTGGCAACAAGCTAACAGCTAGGACTGTGTTTTTTTAAACTGTGGTTGTTCAAAGTTCATGGTTCACATCAGCCCATCAATAAAGTTTATTGATGCACTTTGGACTGAAAGCATGCAATGGTTTGGTGTTTTCATTTGGGCTTCCCCCAAAGGAGTTGCATACTGATGCTCCTCACAGTTGTGCTTGGTGGGGTTTACTTCATGGAGAACCCACTCAATTCGTTGATTGCGATGCACCCCCGCTATATCTGGCTGGTTGAAACATTGAGAGCACTTGGGGTTCCAGTTGCTTGGATTCATGTGCTACAATTTTTTAACATGGATATACTTTTATTATCTCTTATTTCTGGGTGCAAGTTCTCATACCCCTGGAACATGGTGATTCAAACCATTTTTGATTTGGTCATTAGCTCCCTGGTTGCTGCCACTTAGACCTATAAAGTGGCCTTTTGGATGAGAAAGTATGCATCCCTATCGTGGAAACGGACCTGGGTTTGGGCAACGACTCCTCTTATCGCTTCTTTGGATTTGGGGGCAATGACTCCTCAAGAACGACTTGGTAGCAAGACTTTGACAACCCGCTACAAAGATTCCAAAGGTAGAACGCGATTCAAAGGGAACAAATCGTTGAAAACAAGCCAGTACCTTTTCTTGATCAGAATGTTTGTAGTATATGGTTTGTTTTCCCAAAAGTCTTTCACCAACTTTGGGACTATGTTAATCTTTTGCCTATCTTGTTGTCACTGCAGCCATGCTGCTAAGGCAGTACACCTTCAGATTCGCTGCCAAAATGGTGTCCTTGGTTCCGAAGGTAAGAGCTGTTGTTCAAGCACCAGAGCCAGAAAAGGTGAGGGAGTTGTTGAAACGTTAACAACTTACAAAAACCCAAGAGAAATCGTTTTGATGGCTTGGGGTACCTTACATACCGACAATGGGTTGAAAACATATGGTTGACATATAGGATGTTTTGGGTGTTGCTGTTATATCAATTTTGGTCACTGACAATGTTAGTTGTCCATCAGCATCTATATATATAATATAAACAGTGTTTTAATTCCCATTATCTGACCGCAAGGTTCCTTCTGGATCATTACCCCAATTGTTCTCTGCGATGCCCTGGTGTGACGAATGCACCAAATGGGACGAGGAGGCAGATCTTAGAGAAGTGATCCGCTATGCCCGTGGATCGACAAAGTTGCAGATCCCTCCGTCTTGGAGAGAAGTTTTACCCAAAACTATTCCTCCCACTTAAACCCACAATGGTATTCCATAGGGACGACTATAATACATCATGGAAGATGCTTCATATAATTGCCCTGAACTCAAAACATAATATCGATATCATTGAGGTACAGGATAGTTCCAAGAATAGCTATCACTGTGAGGAATAGCTTTGGTCTACCAAGCTTCGGATGTCCACCGTGGATCAATTGATGTCCTGCGCCGAAAACTGTGTGGTCGATCTGGGAACTGTTTAGGGAACCATAACTGCCCAAGGTTTACTTGTTTGAGTATGGTTTGAATACTTGCATGCAGCCATTATACTCATGTTTATGGATGGCAACTTTGCCAAAAATTTGAACGGATCATGCATGATTACACTCATATGAGTGGGATTACTTTCCTACATGCACATGTGCACCCATGCATGCAGTAAACTTGCAGAAACTCACAACAAGACCATTTACTCATATGAGTAGGAGTTTATTACCACAAGACCACTTACTCATATGAGTAGAATTATAATTATAATTAATATATCTCAAGACCACTTACTCATATGAGTGGGATTATTTAGTATATCACAAGACCAGTTATACTCATATGAGTAGGATTACATTGTACAAAACAAAACAGCTTTACTCATATGAGTAACTATGGGTTTTATGATGTGCCACTCATATGAGTAAAATTTTCCCCAAGAGCACTTACTCATATGAGTAACTATGGGTTTTATGATGTGCCACTCATATGAGTAAAATTTTCCCCAAGAGCACTTACTCATATGAGTAACTATGGGTTTTATGATGTGCCACTCATATGAGTAAAATTTTCCCCAAGAGCACTTACTCATATGAGTAACGTGGGTTTTATGAATTGCCTCTCATATGAGTAAAATTCCCCAAGAGCACTTACTCATATGAGTAACTATGGGTTTTATGATTTGTCATTCATATGAGCAAAAGTCATGACAAATCAGGGGCGGATTTGCCCGGGTTAGGGGCGGATTTGCCCGGGTTAGGGGCGGATTTCGCCGGTCACTGGTTTTGGGATCTCTGCAAGTCAGGGTTAAAGACCACAACTCATGATTTGGGTTTTACAAGACAACTTACTCATAAGTATGGGGTCAAGCTGCCTACTCATGATTTGGTATGCTCATCGGTTTCCCCAGGTCATGAACAGAATTCAACGGATATCTTGGTTGTCGCTGTTAATTTCTCAAGGTGCTCCAGGAACTTTGATTGGTGTTGTGATGGAACTTCCATCACGGGTTTGGTCCACAGAAACCCTAGAAATTGGTTTGCAAATGGTGGAAAACGGGGCTGGCCTACCGGATTCCATGTCCAGTCGCAGTGATTATGATATTCAACAAGAAATCGATGCCTTGAAGGACTGGTTGTGTTTGTTTTTTGGACACTCTATCAGCTTGGTAGCAACCTGGTATGTTCTAATTACCTATATAAGGTGATCAAAATCCAACAGTTATACTTCTGGCAGGAGATGCAATTGGCTGGAACCAGAGTTCCGGTGGCAACACCAGCTCGAACACCCTCCTGTCCTCCTCAAATTCATGGTGGTTGCAGTGGCCCTGAAGATGAAACCATTCCTGCTGACCTGGGTGAGCAGACCAAGCAAGACCCCCGTTGAAGTACTTAATTAAGTACATTTGGTTTCAAGCATGAACTGTCTCAACCATGGTGTGGACGGGACCAGTTCTTCTGTTTTTGCAACCATCCCTCTCCCTGCGCCCAGGAACCAACGGTGGATCTTGCTGATGCTGCCGAGGAACGAATCATGGTGAAGACTGCTGATGCTGCTGATTCACAGCCATCTGCAGAGCCTTGGATGTTGATCGGCTTGATGTTGAAGGTATGTGTATCGATCTAAACAGTGCCAAAAGAAAGGGGTCATGTTGCCACATGCAGTAATATGTTAATTATCATATAAATTAAAAAATCAATTTATGTCTCTCAACATGTTGTTTGGGATTGCAAAATGAGGCGGATCTTCTCTTGGCCTTGCAAGATGCTGGGCTAGATACTGTTGATGATCACTTGGACGCTCCCATGGATGAGGAAGCTCACCTTGACCACGATCCCTATGGGTTCTTTGAGAGTTATGAGGTACATTCGGTGCTTACTAAATGGACGGAAAATGTTTCTAATTGCCAGAAACTAGTTGAACATGCAAACTAATTAACATATGATATTCCGAAGCCTTAGATTGTGGCCCCATGGGCAGGCATCCAGCGTCAGTGACGACGACGAGACTGACCAAGCAACTCTAGATATGCTTCGTCATGTGGCCGCTTTGCTCAGTTGATGTGAATAGGCATATGCCTGTAGAAAAGTCTCCTGCCATGACACTCTTCCCAATAGCCCTTTCTCAGGAAACAATGTGCGATGATGCGAAGAACCGTGAGAATACAAAGAGCCTGGACAATGTTTCTTGGTTAACCACTTAACCGCACAACCTCCATCAGTCATCCTGAGCTGAATGCATTGGCATTGGTGTGGCTTATACATGCATAAAACATCATAAAACCCTAAAACCCTGCTGATGTTTATGGGCCCAGCAATCCATTAATGTTTGTCGATCCACACACAATGCATTACTCAAAAACATGTTTTGTTGATCTGTGTTGGCTGGTTTCCACTCTGAGGCTGTCAGTGCCAATGAGATGAAGCGCATTGGCAGATTGTTGACCCCACGACAAGATGGAACGCTACTAGTTCCTAAGAAGATTGTTGACATGTGGAAAGATGTAGCTGATGGTGGAAGAGATGAAGTGAAAAAATTATGGCTTCAAGTTCAAGGAAACAAGGACTGGTGATAACTGATGGTTCCATCGATATATATTATATAGATTTATTCGATATAATATATATAATTCCTACTTGCCCCAAGTCTAAGGTAGTTTATGTTTTTAGCGCTGATGGTCCTCGATCCTTCTGTTCGCAGTCTTTCTTGCAGCGCAGGAAGCCTTCATAGCCAAAGCCAAACGGGTGGTAGAATCCACTCAAGAAAATGATTTGTGGGTCGATGGTGCCTTCATGACTGAGAAGATGATGACTGACGAGAACTTCGATTTGTCCTTTGGCTATAGAAATTTTGATTGCTACATGCATGGATCGACTGAATATTCATTGCTGGAACAAAATGTTTGCATGGCTTCGTTTTGACTCCAAGTGTTGTTCTGTGGAAATGCTCATCAGTACTGTTAGTCTTCTACATTTTTTGAATGTGATGATTCAAGTTTTTCATATGTCTTCCAATCAGGGCACGCATTAACGCGATCAAAGCTGAATGCAAGAAGAACAAAGGATGGATTCGGTAGCTGGACTGCAGCTAAGACACCATCAGACCGCCCTCTCGCTCTGATGACAGCATGCAGTTGATGTCAGGCGTGATCGCTATGAGAAGCACCTCCAAGTGTACTGGGTGGAATCCCAGATGGCTGGTCGACGTTTGACCTTTGTTTGCATCTTTGTCAACTTGTGTGATATAGCGTTCCTAAGGGTAATTGCGTATATATATATATATATATATAAGTATATTTCAATGCCATGATTGTCAAAGGAATCGCAAAGGAAAACCGATCAAATTCGACACAATAGTTCTCCATTGGTATCCACTGTTTTCGCGCTCAGGAAGAGAAGGAAAACAACCTTCACCGAGGAGGAAGAGGTGGAGGAAGGAGCAGTAGATGCAGATCTGCAGGATGTGCTTCCGAATGATTTTATCCTTCCGGAAGACAACTCAGGTGAGAACATATCGGTTGTATAGTATATAAATATATATTATATATTATATATATATGTATATATATATATATTTGTTTGCCACCAATCCCAACTTGCTTCAAACATCTTCAAATTGTTTTGTCCTTACCACATCCCAATGTCCCCCAATGTCCCCAATGTGCCTGTATTGCATACCATTGTCCCCTGCCAGATCCTGCAGAAGTGATCGAAGCAGGTGGTGTTGATTCGCAACAAAAGACTCTGAAGGCCATGATGTTTCCCACGATGGATGAGGCTGATGCTTTGCCATCTTCTTACATCACGAAGGTGTTGACTGCATTGGGCAAATGGTCAGCCAAGCTCCAATCGCTGACTGATTTTTTTGGTGGGTTAGATCCAACTGCTAACACAAAAGTGCTTCTCATCTTCATTCAGTTTGCATGGGTCACGGCTAATGTATATAAATGAATTTACTATATATATATATATATATGTATATATATATACCTGCATGGCCATAATTATATTTATATCCTTGAAGATTTTCCAACAGCGTCACATTCTTGATCTTTGCAATCTCAGGATCATGGACAAAACCGGCAAGGTGGATGCTGCAATCTTGGGCATCATTGACAAAATCAATCAGGTCAACACGGATGGCATTGTTGATGGATATTCGCGTCAGTAACTAGGCTCTAGTTGAAGATACAGTTCCAAACATGAAACAACATTCCTGCCCACCATCATTGATTTTGCTGAACGCCCAGGCACCAAGACGAGTTGGAAACGCTGTACAAGGAGTCTCGCCAGCAGTGCCTTGTCCTTGACACGGCTGTCAAATGCAGTGTGAGATGTAGTATTGATTGTTTGTCCCATTGCCATTAGCGGGTCAGAAAGTGGGTTTTGGGAAGCACCCGCCAAGAACCGTATAATATATGACATCGATGTATAACATAGACCAGACTCCTGACTCGTTGACACTTTTTTGAGTTGTGTGGAAACCAATTGGTTGGTCCAGGCAATATATACAAATTTAATCAAGAAATACATCTCCCATACACCTTGCGTGTTGTGATACGGCTATGGCAGCTTTTTTGTAAGCCATGGGTGATGATGAAGGCGATTGGCTAGTAGAGCTTCTCACGTACAAGTGCCCGTTGTCTGGACAAACACGGTGTGCTGTTGATGCTTCACTGGCCTCACACAGACCTTCCACTGATGAGAGCCTTAGCAACATTAACAAATTGTATGTTGTATGTAATATACATATGTTATTGTTGCTGTTCTTCATTTCTGTCAACCTTGTTGGTATCAACATTTTCTCCAACACAAACTGAAAACCGAGAATCCTTAGGATATGCCATCCTCCCAAAAGGCAAGCCCTTTGTCACTCCAAGCATCCAATGCCACAGCCAACTGACTGCAAAGACACACCAGAGCACTTGGATGAAGCCTGAAGCACAATGTACGCTGTCAGAATTTTACTTTTGTTGTCTTTTGTTCCTACCACCCCCTACAAGGGTAAAAAATAGTGCATAATTTTGTAAACAGTTGGGCAAACAAGGAGAACAAACGCAGAGAAGTACTGGAACATCTACAACATCTGGGTCAAATGTCATTTGTCCAGCCTCCTTGGGAAGAGTTACATCGCTGTTTGATTTACAAGCACATTCGGGCAAACACCAGTGAGTTCACAACATGTGGAAAGATTCTGCAGCATGCGCGGCAGAAAGTTTCTAGCTTCCGTGCACGTCATGGTGATGGTCTGTGTGTTTTCAAAATCGGGGTGACTGCCAACCCAGCAAAACGCTGGGAACTCTATTTGAAAGTCAATTTTACAGCGATGTGGATCATCTTCATGAATGATGACTTAAGTTTAGTGCACATGTTGGAGGCCAGTCTCATAGCTCTGTTCTGTGAGATTAGTGGCTGCCGAAACAAGCCCAACACGGGCGGCGAAGGGGCATTGAACAGACATACTGCCCCAGATCCACCTTTCTTTGTATATGTGGTTGGTGGCCGGGCTGACCAACACAATAGAGTTGGATAGCCACACCACTTTTCGGGAGCTTTACAATAAAATAGAAGGGGGTTAAAAAGTAACGCAATGCTTAGCAACACTTGACTTTAAAACCAACTTTTCAAAGATATTGATCTGCAATTTCGCCAAGGTGCGCTGCAGCACTGAACATGGTCACGAGGACACAGCTTCTTGGCTCTCGAGGGTGGAACCTTTGTCTGATGTTTTGGACCACCCCTGCAACCCTTACCAAGTATGATTCCAGATCGATACATTATATCATATAATTTGGTTGGTGTCATTCATATATATACATATTGCAATACTTCGAATATTGCAATTATTATTCCTCCTATTCTGACCTGAGGCCACTTATGAGCCACATCAAATCGAAGATGAACAGGGAACGACGTGAGCGTGAAAAGGCTGAGACTGAGGAGACTGAAACCCCTCGAAGAAGGGCTATCAAAACCGAACCAGGTTCACGCTCTCGTAGATGAGTACCAACACTGTGCAGGGACATGATCTGTGCAAATATATACATCAATTAACATCATGGAACGCTCTGAAAATTTCCGCTATTTTTGTTGTAGTATTGTTGTCTTCATCCATAGATCTGTCTCCAGAGTGCAATCTTTTGGGGTTAGCAAGACCTACAGTGGCCTTGCATGGGTGGGTGATAACATCCATCATTCCACTATCCTGCGACCGTGGGATTTCATTTCTGCTACTTGAGCAATGGGTGTTTCCGTTGGATTGGCAGCATGATACCGCTGCAGATGTCCCAATGAAGCGAGAACGACAAAAAAGGTTCAACAATGTTCTCAGGTAGCCACTTTCATTTGTTTGGGTTAGTTATTTCACTTCATGCCAGGTGACTCAAATGCGTCGCGAACTGCTGGGCCTTTGCTGGAGCATGTGGTGGAAACAATTGCGGATGGTGAACCTTGTCAAAACTCAAACATGACGGTTTGGGGCAATGGCATTGAAACTATACATGCAACCTGCAAATTCTTCATATGATGGACCATCATGGACATATTCACCCCAACTATCATAATCACCATTGGGGTTGCCTTCACCTAGGCCCCTGCAAAAAGATTTGCTGAACAAGGGGCTGCTTTGCGATTGGAACTTGGATCTTCAACGTCGATGCTGCATCAGTCTACTAGATCTGTTATCAAAGGATCACTCAAAAACGCTTCCAGACAATACCAAAGGTCTGTGAGACGCTTCAATATGGCTATGAACCCAGGATTATATTTACAACATCTTTATTTTTGCAACCGCTGATTTTTTTGAATGTTTTCGGTGCCCATTGGTGTCCAAAAAAATGTTTATGACACAAATGTGTGGGGTACCAAGGTTGAATGTTACAGGTTGTTTTGTATTGGGGTGTCACTACCGGTCACTTTCTGAGGAATTTTCGCCCCACAGTACACGTTCACCAAGAAGGTGCGAATCTTGTCGAGATGCCATACCATCGACCCAGAACCATTCTGGCCACGCTGCTTCACCAAGAGCCCTGGATGCTGCTTGGTGGATTGGACCCAGGGCCGGATGCAGACTCTTTGCTATCTACATTCTGGAAGACATACAAAATTCAACACCCAACTCACAAGATTTTCAGCATGGGCTTGGACATGGCCCGAACGATTCCTATGATGATTCATGGGGATGGAGCAAGGACTGCCAAGAAGCAACCACTTGAGGTTGTTTCACTGATTGCTGTTCTGGGCCTAGATACAAAAGAAGATGTCAATTGTCACTGTCCAAGGCCATTCTGTTATTCCAAAGACTTTTCCATTGATGACCCTATGGTTCAGAAGTTGAACAATCGCCACCACAGCTACCTACATCACTTTCTGATGTTTTGCTTCCCTGGCAAACGATACAAGGCCACGCCAGGCCTCCTGAAATCCATGCTTCGCAGGATCTCGGAGGATCTTTCTGAATGTTGTCAACAAGGTATATATGTCGATGGTGACCCCCGACCATATCATATTGGCATCATTGGTTTGAGAGGGGATGCTGAGTGGCATTCGAAAACTGGAGTGTTGAATCGTTCATACAGAAACGTTGGACATGTGAACCAAATACCTTGTTGCCATCAGTGCGATGCTGGTGCACCTGGTATTCCTTTTGAAAGTTTTCGTTCAGATGCTGAATGGAAGAGTACGATTGGGAGAACTGTTCCATGGTCATTGGAGCCACCCTATGCACCGATTCAGTTTGAGCCTTGGGACAACGGATCGTCGGCGAAGTTTTTCCGCTATGATCCTTTTCATGTTTTTAGACTTGGTATCGCCCGCAACTTTTGCGCAAGTGCCATCGTCTATTTTTGCAATGAGGGTCTTTATGATTTCCCTGGTGATGATCACAGTGTTCCTGGACGGTTGGGTAGGGCATGGGCGTCATTTCTTCTATTTTGCGAAACGGATGGCAAAAAGCCAGCTTCAATGAGGAGTTTCTCAAAGGAAAAGCTTCACTACAGCACCACAACAAGCTTTCCGTTTGTGAGCTGCAAAGGCAGTGACACCATCCTACTGCTGCAGTATTTGAAATGGTTCTCTGGACTTCAAATATGTCATGGAAACACATCGGAGGGAGTGCGGCTTGTGAAAAAGGGATCTGAACAAGGTTTGAACTTCCAAGGATTTCATCGCCATGGGCTGTGGCTTAACCCCCAGTGTCGGGATTACATCTGCAAAATGTGCCGGGGCTTTTGTCACACTTACAGTCGCCTAGCAGCTCATGCATATGGCCGGCAGATGACATTGTTTGGGCTTGTGCCTAAGGCACACTCTCTTGGGCACATATATGTGGATCTTGAAAGTTCCCGGGCAAACCAATACACTCTCAATGCCGGTGTGTGGGACACATCAATGAGCGAGGACTTTGTGGGGCAGGTTGGGCGCCAATCCAGGCGAGTTGGCTATAAGAATTTGGTTCACAACACATTGCTTGCCTACCGGATCAGAATGAAATTTGTGATCAAACGGTTCAAGAAGAACAACAGAACGAGGTGACGATGGATTGCCAGCTGCTCTTGAGTTTGACGATGCTTTTGTGGTTGGGAAAAGGTAGTGTGTATGTGAGACACTGGCTGTGGACAAAGACTGGAAACCATATCATGATCCCACTCAAGCATATATGAAATTGTGAAACAATTGTTCACATACTGTGTGTTTATATGTGTTTAGATGGTACTTGCCCAAAAGTGAAAATAGCCAGGGGCAGAAATTTTGCTAAGGGGCTGAAATCAAATTCAGGGGCAGAAATTTTAGCTCAAAACCCAAGGGTCTAAAAAAAGACAAGGCAGGAAGATCAAGGTATATATGCATCCGATTGTATACCTGATACTATATGCACCTTTATAATTTCACATGTATACATACTGTATATATATATATATACAACTCAATCATACTGAATCATACGCATAGCTGTTATGTAACATATGTCTTCCATTAAACGTCACACGTTTTACGCGGCGTCAGTCGCCGATGAAGACGTTGGTCACCAGGTGAGAAGAAACACTGTTTCATCAGCCATGAGCCACTGAGTTTGGACGAGCTCGTCAAGCAGGCGAGGGTTTTTGGACGAATGGTCGACGAGGTCGGAAAATCGTCCCATGGGGATTTTATATGGAACTCATAATGGTTTTGTACTGATATTTATAGCGTTTTATAGTGATTCATATGGTATTTCTCACCATTGAAATCTGCAGTGTTTCTTTGATTTACATGTTTAATCTTCCTTTTTAAAATGGTGTTCACCATCAGTGATAGGCTTGTTTTATGGATTTAGATGGCTGTCGTGTCGTTTTTCGATGGGTGTTTTTGGAGTTTGAAGCATCATCCAATCCAAGGGGATGATGAGATGTTTATTGAATTTCATCTGATTGGTGGTGACTGGAACCATGGAATTTTATGACTTTCCATTCAGTTGGAAAGTCATCTATAAAGGGGATGATGAGATAATAATGGCTGATTGGTGGTTTGGAACCATGGAATTTTATTTTTCCATATATTGGAAAAAATCATCCCAACTGACGAACTCATATTTTTCAGAGGGATTGAAACCACCGAACCAGTTACTCACACTTCTATAAGTGGTGAAAACTAAGTGTGAGTATAAGTGTTTTTTCCGCATGGTTAATCAGTTAATCGTTCTTCATGTCAGTTCATCATACTACTAGACCTTTTGCGGCATCCATGGCTATCCATTAACCAACCATACCATCAGATACCGTTCTTGAGATCAGCTTCGGAGGTTTCCTACAATTGGCTTATCCCACATGGATCCACATGGTATGATTTACAAAGGAAAATCCCATCTAGAAATGTACTGGTGGTAGCCGTATTAAAAAGGACAGCTCCATATATCGTTCACCAGTTCATTGACTTTATAAAAGGGCGAACTAGTTCATTGGGTTTATAAAGAACTAAATTTTACAAGGAGGTGCCCCAGCTTGTATAGTAATGTACAATCCCTTTCTTTTGGATGGTTAAATGTGCTGAAATCCATGAGTTCCCGGCATTTTGCGATTGTAATAGAATTTCAGAATTAACCATCGTTATAACATGTTATAACCATCCTTTAATGTGGTGAAATCCATCAAATTTTCCCACATGTTCATGGTTAACCATGCTTTGATCAGATAAGAACTTTATTTCTTTGATCGTTTGCAATGGTAAAATTCCTTCATTCACCAGCGAAAAATTCGAGTTGTTGATTCGCTCTGATTCACCATCTGATTTTCCCAGAGATCTGTAGGTGTCTGACCCCAGCTGTGGAGCCATTACGACCTTCTCAGGCGACCGTGGTTCCGTGGTTCAGGGAAGACAAAGCTTCGGAAGATGATGGCAACTGGTGATTTAATCAGGTTTCCATAAATGGGGATACCCCTTTATCGCCGGTTGGTTTATGTCATGGACAATCCTACTAAAGTGGATGACTGGGTACAGCTATATTAGGAAACCTCCATATTTAATCATATTTGACCGTCAAGAATGGGAGATTCATGGGAATATCACTGGAAATCATGGCACCATCTGGTAAAATCATCCAACGAAACGTGCCGTTTTCCATAGCTGTGGTAGTTTGCTGCAGTGGAAACCATTGATTTACAATTCTCGAGATCAAAGTGGATGGTATCGATCCCGTATTTCATGGACCAGCTCATGGACCGATGCCAAAAAATTGCCCTAGTAAAATCATGTAAAACCCCTATGTAAAACAAATGTTTATATATACCATCTGGTAAACTAACGTAGCTATGAAAAATCACCTTATTGTTTATGGGTAAATCAACTATAAATGTCCATTTTCAATAGCTATTTTGACATAACAAGATGGTAATATAGATCCTTGGAACAGCCATTCTCATCCATCTATTCCGGATTCTACATTGTTGGATTAGTCAATTATAAATTCAGCCACTGGCTCATACTGGCTCCAATGTTTTTTGTAAATCCCCAATCCCTAGCCCCTAATATGAAATACACCACCCAACCGCTGATCTGATCACAACTTGGGAGCCCATATAGCTGATGGGATTCGCTTTTTTAGATGGATCTTTGTGTCCCAATTTCAGTATGTCTCAACCACATTAATCCATAAATCAACCATTTTTGATGGTTAACCCCACTACTAGGCTTTCCCTATGGTTTGGTGACCAAACACATATTAGTCATCTGAGAAAAGACCTACAAGGTCCATGCAGAAACCCTTACCTGAGAGGTCTTGCGAACTACATATCGCGATAAATGGGAAGACCATGTATTAAGTGATATAGTGAACTACCATGACCGCGATAGCTTTTGCTCATGACTGCCTTTGTGACCTTGGTTTTGGTCCCTTCCCATAGCTTTTTGATCGTCAAAGTATTCTTCTAAAGTTTCTTCGTTCACAATCCCTATGAAACCAGACGGAATTCAAATTCACATCTCAGTTCACCAATGAAGAAAAACGAACAATGGTTTGTCATGTTTTTTCCATATTTCAATGGATTGGTTTGAGGGAACATCTTAACCGGAAACCAGAGTTATTTTCCCATTAAGATCATGGGGCTTTCCTGTAAGTGTTCAACCTCCCTGAGTCCAACCTTTCCATCTTCATTGGTGACACGAGAGGCACAACTCGAGACAACTTCGAGGGCAAAAAGGTGGGGATGATGGGATTTTCTGCCTGATGAAGCTGCCGAAGGTTTCGCCTGGCATTTATCATAAACATGGTGATTTAATGGAATTTAGCCAAGAAACGTGGTGATTTAATGGGATATAATAGTGATTTAATGGGACTTTAATCAAGAAAATGGTGATTTAATTGGATATGATGGTGATTCAATGTGATTTAATGTGATATAACCATGAAACATTGGAATTTTACCATAGAAAATTGTGATTCCTTAGCTATTGATTTGATTATATGTTAGCTAATTTGGTTGAGATAACCATGAAACATGTAGGACACTGGTGATGTAGCTAAATATGGGGATTAGTGGTTGATCTATTTGATTTGAGCTGCGGATATACCATCTGGGCAGATTGGAATCTGAGCAGCACAGTGCTTCAGCACATCTCAGATCTGCAAGTCTGGGACTATTTCCAGCCGATGATAAGGACTGCACACCTCAGAGCTCCAACCAGAGATCCAAGATGCCATTGGGGAGGACTAGAGTCGCTAGAGCTTCAAAACTCCTTGTCCCTGATGCTTCATCCTTCCCTCAGAAGAGCTCAAATCAGAAGAATGGGGACTGCTGAGTATGAAAGCAAGAAAGAGAAAGATGTTGTTAAGAGGGCCAGGCACAGGAAGCTCCAGAAGCTGCTCAGGAAGCACACGAGCAAACTTGTACAAAAACTGGCTGAGAAAGTGCAAGGCATATGGTTTTCATAAGGTAAATCATCCCCTTAAATGGCCAAACTATTCAGGTGAGTGAAATATGATCATTTACCCAGTATCGTCTACAGTATCTATAGATATCTATAGTATAGTATAGTAACATCACTATAGATGGTAATCTAAATTAACCTGAATATTTACCCAGATACCATGGAAAATAAGGACTCCACCAAGAAGTGCGGCAAAAAACGTCAAAAAAGGCGATGGATCGATCGCCGAGACCCGGGCCCCGAAAAAAAAGGGTAGGATCGGAAGTTCGGCCTAGGGATGCCCACATTCGCTTCTTCAACCCAGTTCGGAATCGCTAAGTTGGTTTATAAGTCCAATAACTATGGTTTATAGGTGATATATCTATAGTTAATGGGATTATAACATATTGTAACCCATTTATAACTGGGTGGGGGCACCACCTTGTAGACTAGACCTAGACATTTGAGCAGTGTTCGAGTTTCTACGTGTCCCTTAAGCCAATCCAGTGCAAAAAACGCATGGTTGTTGGTATAACTTCTCAGAACTTTACTGCTTGTTCATTGTAGAAATTATTTGTGCAGATGACATGTATAGGTGTATGTGATAGTCTTTAACGAGTTCAATGCGACATCACTGTAAATATGGTTGATATTTATCCCAATCTGAGCCTCATTTCAGCTTTGTGAATTATTATGATAGGATATACAGTTATGGCCCAACTAACATTTATAAATGGAATAAAATAACTCCTTGAACTAGCTGGTGAAATATATCATGAAATAACCCCTTTTACAATAACTGTTAGTTGGTCCATAACTGTATGCATGTATATTGTTAGTTTTATACCAATCACATCCATTCTACCCTCAAACTAACATAGCTATGGAAATCACAATGTTTACTTTGTATATCAACTTTATATATGACTATTTTCAATAGCTATTTTGACATAACCAGAGGGTATAATATATATATATAATCCCATGATCACCCCATTCATATCCCATTATTATCCATGATTATTCACCTATATTCACCCCTTTTGACATAACCAGAGAGTACAACTATAAATGAGCATGGTCAATAGCAAACTATTATTTTACCAGGGGGTACTATTAATATCCCATTATAATCCCATTATCATCCTATTCATATTCATTATTATTCCATAACCAGAGGGTACCACGATTTTTGCTACCACGTCACAGGTGGTTCACTTGGAATACGAGGCCTATGAGCCGATGGCGTTGAAGGTGGCGGGACGACGTGGCACGGGCAAATTATAACGACATCACGTCGTTCGACCTGTTCGCCCTGGAATCATGGTTCTCATAAGGGGAATCCCAAAATGGCCCAAGATTTCAGGTCAGTGAATTATGATCATTTGCCCAGATGGTAGGTTTTATGTGTGGTATACCCTCCTATTAATGGATGGTTTCAAATTGAAAATCCTATTAAAATGGATGATGTAGGGGGATTTTTGCGGGATAACCAAAATAACAATCATGGGGATAACCAAGGTTTTTCGTTAATTTTGTGGTGTTTTTTTACGCCAGTTCCATACCAGGAATCTCTAATCGAATGGTGAGGGGCACCCTCCTCCTATGAATGGAGGTTTGACTGGGAATACCGTCTATACATGTGGAATTGTCCAGTGCCATGTTTGATTACTGGAAGGTATCATGGGGATACAATGGGAATATTTCATTGGGATATTTTCACGGGAGTTTGTTATAGTTTGTTGGCAACAATCATCAGGGTTGCTCCAACCTATATCAATCATGAACATGTGTATTTTTATTTGTATATTTATCTTGTTCCCCCCGCTTTGTATCTGGGGTGTTGGAAGCAACCCTGTAAAAACAAAGGATTTCGCCTACTAACCAAAACATATGTTTTGATCATCCAATACGTATAGGTTGTAGTGTCTGGCGGTTTGATATGGGGATTTACCGCCCAAAACTGCTGATACACCAACCATTTGGTCGCCGGAAAGCCAGTTCGAAGGGTCTGCAGATCGCCGCATTGCGGCCTCAATGGTCCTACAAACTTCTGCTGTGGTGCAATCTGCACCAAGTGCATTCTGGTCGTCGTTCGAAAGCGCCGGACGCTTTCTTAGCTTCCCCTCTAGGTGAACAAAAGCGGTGACAAGCGTAAGGATTATGTGAGACTATGTGTAAATAAATTCCACTCCCATCCCCATTCGCAACCCCAACCATTAAGCGAACGAAATTTGTGCGCGTCTATCTATGTATCTATCTAGTTATAGCTATCTATGTATACATGTGCAAACCTCATAGATGCATGAAATCATCATGTCCATCATATATTCCAAGATTTGCCTGCAACCTGCAACCGTCAGTCGTCTCATTCCCTATCGTTGCCGTAGGAGATGGACCGCATCTTGCAAGACGTGCTGGATGGCAAGTGCGGAGCCGGCATCAGGCGGCACGTCCGGGGTTGAAGCACTCACCAATTGTTTGGGACTATAGTTTCAAGCCACAGAAATGGAGAAATCAAATAAGTTTCGACGCACAAAATTGGTGGAAAACCCATGGTTTTAGTCAGAAACACATGGAGCCTATTCTTTTCCGAGAGTAATGAATCCCTGATATGTGTGGTTTCAGGTCAAGCATCGTGAATTGCATTTTGGATGATGATTTGCCAAATGGGACGCCAGGGAGCTACGAATTGGGTTTCCCAAGCCATCCCAAGCACATGAAAGTTATACTGCAACTTAAGATTCAAGAGTTGGAGTATCTATCAGTACGATTTCCCAATATAACAACTGTTAAGAGATAATATAGTTCTAAGGGATTAGTATTGGGGTTATCCATTATATCATATTATATCTATATGGTACCCAATATAACCCCCTTAACAGACCTAGTTCTAAGTGATTAATCGGGATGAAGCCTTCAACAAATGAGATCCCACGACTAAAAATCCCATCCCCACGTGGTGAACCATCAGCATTTTAGGAGGTAGTTTCATCCGTAAAATGGGTGATTTGTCCACATCTTGTTTATCCGATAAGGGTAGTTAGATGTGACTTATAAGTAGCATGAGTGGAACATCCTGCTAAATTTCTATAATCTAAGAGGATTTTCCAGTTCGAATTACGAGAGGGTATCCCCGATGGTGGTTGATGACATCAAATATCCATGTGCACTTTGGTAATCGTAGTGTGCTTATGGAAAATGCTTAGTTCGATGATTTACCCTCTGCTAAATTAACTTGTTGACCCTGAAAATAGCCACTGTTTAGTTGAAATTACTCTTCCAACATCTGCCAGGGTCTATGTTAGTTTACCAGAGGGTACCTCTTTAAAGATGGTGATGTTCCATTTCGCTGTGTTCAATTCGCAGGTGGATTATTCTTCCATGAAAGGTGCATGATCAACCCGAAACTCTGCATATCCTGATGTGGTTTTCAACCAGTTGGGTACGTCCCCAGTCATCTGTGATTTTAAAAATATTGATTCAGGATATTAATATCATATTGATATCAAATATTAAATCAGGATATATTATAAGATTATATTTATATAAACATATTAAGTCAGGATATATTATAAAGTTATATTGAACATATTAAATCAGGATATTTTTATTGGACTAAATATCTCATCATCCCTGAAGACCGAGCGGCTCGGGACAAAAAACACTCTGTCTCAATCTTCGCAGACTTGGAAAATGAAAACAGGAAGCTTTTGTCTCTTCAGACAACTTACTGGTGCGTTTTACGTAGGGTTGCTGGATGGGTTGCTGGGGGTTGCTGGGATGATTATTACTAGTGATTATGGATCATTCCCTCATTCCCTGCTAAGCACCAGTAAGACAAAGACTAGCTGACTAGCTGTGAGAACAGGATGGAACTGGGAACGTCTTTTCTGCTAAGCCCTCACAGTGATGGACTTGGCGAAGCCGGTCTTCATGATTGCAGGAAGCTGGGGAAAAGAGCCGACTGAGGAAGTGGAAGGGACAGAAATTCACTTCGCGGAACCAAATTTGTCTCAGTTCGACTTTCGCAGGGGGGGTTTAAGGATGATGGATACGAATACTAATGATCTGAGTATGGATATTAATGAAAAACCATCGGGGATATAAATCAGGGATATTCATTTGACTAACTAAATCTATAATCTATAGTAACAAGATATGTTAAGATAAGATACTTAGTGTATCGTAGTCAATGCATCTATGGATTATTGCTTAATGAATGATCATCCCCTAGCATTCATACAATCATTGCTGACCAGATCATCCCACCCAACCACAAACTCGTGATCTCCAACGATGTCGGCAGTTGTCGGTTAATATTGGTTATGTCTCTAAGATGATTTGTGAAAATCATGATACAATTAAGCTTGGATAGTTTGAAACATCCAATTTGTATCAATTTGTTCTATCCCAATCTGAACTAATTGATTGTATTCACACGTATTGAAGATATATACCAATATTGTCAATGAATGGTCACTAATTGATACTGGAATTATCAAATTGTTAAATCCCAATGACATTCAGATACTATTAACTTTACATAATGTGGGTAAAACATTGTCATAAATCATCCCCCAGTCATGACCATGTTTCATCATTTTTATCGGTGCTATGTGACTACCATTCCCAGTTATGGGTGCCTGGCGTAGACCTGGGCGGGAATGCAGGTGTTAGGAATCTCATCGACATCCTAGCTATGGCACTGATAAATATCAAAAACTGCACCAAAAAATAGATATAAATAGTGAATAATGGTAATTAATGATTAATGGTGATGAATGATTAATGGTGAATAAATGCACCAGTTTTAATGGTGATTTCATGGTGAATAACGGATGATTTCATAGTGATTTCATGGTGATTAATGATTAATGGTGAAATCCAAAAGACAATCAATCTCTCCAATTTTGGTCCTACTATTGCAATATTGGAATAGCAGGCAAAAGGTCACTGTTGCGTAATTTGCTTTGAATGTCACAATGTTAGCACCTCTCTGGAATGTTCGCACAGCGAGGTCCCAAAACAATTTAGCTGTTGGTTAACGTTCAAATCGCCAACATATGAATCTTGGTGCTTAATATCCCAAGTTAAATACCGGAGGGTATCTTCCGATATATTGAATTCTTTGCTGGCTATATTATATTGCACTACCTCCCATTATTTCCGGTTATAAATCCCCAGTGGAATAAAACAACAATCACAGTTTGGTAACTCACTTGAAAATCACCATTAAATCACCGTTAAATATTTATTATGATCCATTAGTCATCCATTAATCACCAGTAAATCACCATTGTCCTCCATTCATCAACCACTCTTCACCTTTTCAGGATTAATGGTAAAATAACCATTCTTCATCATTAAATCACCATTTTCCATGAATCACCAATATTAACCATGAATCATCCATTTATCATCGATTAGTCATCCAATAATCAATAATCACCATCAAATTACCATTAATCCACCATTAAATCACCATTCATCAAGCATTAAACATCTACTAATCATCCATTAACCATCCATTTATTCACCATTAATCATCCATTCAACCACTTTTAACCTTTAATAACCATTCCATCACCATAGAAGCTGACGCTTTCTCGTCACCGTCCAGGCGTGTGGCCTGTGCGCATCGTTTGGGCGCCGGGAAAGCCCAGGGCAAAAACAAATCGGTCGTTAAGTCGTCAGAACGGTGGATGTCTTACAGTTATGGCCCAAGTAACGGTTACCCTCTGGTTATTTAACATAGCTATGGAAAATGAGCCATAGAAATAGATGATGTACCTATTAAAGTGATGATTTTCCATGGCTATGTTCAATAACCAAGTAACAGTTATATCTGGCTTATGGTAGATATAACTATATTTAATTTATGTTTACGGGGTTTTATAAACCAATTTATAGCTAACCAACTACAGTTATGGCCCTTATATAACAGTCATAAGTGGGATTATATAGTTGTTATAGTAGTTATACATGGGCTTAGAATGATATAGTTCGCCTTAGTTATAATCCCAAGTAACAGTTATAACTGCAAATATAGCTCCTATAACTAGTTGGTTATATGTCATGAAATAAACCCATGGGATTATTTCATGAATTATATGTCACCTTAGTTATTTATAGTAGTTACAATCTCATTTAATTTTTAACTGTTGGGCCATAACTGTCAGAGGATTTGGATATGGGATTCTCTGAAAATAGTGTGTACACTGAGTACACTGTACACCCAGATCCAGTGGTTGATCATCATTTTCCCTATTGAAAAGTTTTTTTTATTTTTTTGGAGAGCATTTTTTTTCTGACAGATTTGGGCGAGACGGGGTGCCCGCCATGAAAACCGATTTTGGACCGGAGATTTTGGCCGATTTTTTGGTCCCCATCGGATTATTGGGGTACCCTCTGGTTATGTCAACAGTTTGCGATCTGGAAAATGGCCCATTTTGTTCGTTGTTTTAGCTATTAAAGATGGTGATTTTCCATCGCTATGTTTACCAGAGTGTACCCCAATTTTGAATAATTTTGACCCATACCCATTTGACAATGAAAATGCTGGTAAAGCAATGTCATAAACCACCCATATGGATGGATGGTTTATATCACCCATAAAAATTGTGATTTTGGGGATCGTTGATTATTGCTGCACCAACATAGTTCTACGAACAATTTAACATACAGGTTGCTAAACTTGCGTGTTTGATTGTGAATTTACGTTGTTTAACCCTGAACACCACACTATGATTGCTAGGTTTCATCGCCAAAAACATGTTAAAACCACCATTTTATTCTGATTGGTCCATTTTCCACATTTTTCCACCAGTAAATGATAATGCTAGTGATAGTGATAGTTTACCATTACCATAACCATTGCATGTTGATCTTAGGATGTCAACCATAGGACGTTAACCTGGGGTTTGGTTATGTAAAACCACATTAGTATAGTTAAACATGCGAAACCATGCGAGACCCTATTCTATTCCCATTTTTTTCAGGACAAAACCATTTTACCACCATTTTATCAGAATTGTTTGTAAAATCCCCAATATAAATTAACGCTATGACCATAGATGATTACCATAGGTATTGATGAATCACCATTTTATCACCACAGATCATATTACCATGTATATATATACTAATGAATATATTACAGTAATAGATAGTGATGATGTGTAAATACATGGTAAGATACGGTGCAATATTGCTAGTATACCATCAGCATAACATCGCCATTATAATGCTTGATGAAAACAACATATTCATTAATGACTAGTGCCACTAATCATATTATCAATGGGAATTCCAGGATCCTAAAATGGAGGTACTGTACCATATAAGGCCAGATTGTTTGGGGATATTCCCTTACATAGCCCTGAAACATAGGCCCTATACATGGTAGGTACCTCCAATGAATCGGTTCCTGTTGCATGGCCATTGATATTACCATATATTGGTGAAACCTTCAGATCCATAACTGTCTGCAACTTCCCAATTAAAAGTGATTGGTGAAACCTTTATGTTTATCATCATTGATATTATATTACTGTATCTAAATATCACCAACCTTCATACTATTCATTTCAATGAATTTTGATTTACAAAATCTGGCAATATAATCTCAATACATTCACAATATATGAATAATGAATAATAATGAGCTAAATGGCATATCAGATTATCACTACAAAGTGGGGCCCCCGTCCGATAGCTAAGTTGGTTTATAACTACAATTTCACTAGGGTATAAGGTAGATATAAGTATAGTTAGATTGGGTTATAAACCAACTTATAACTAGGGGGGCCCACATTGTAACCTTCATATATCATCAATTCATAGCATCTGGCATATTCACCCCCCGATCTCAGGTGGTTCCCTTGGCCGAAGCCTCCGTCTTGATCGCAGTGGCCTCTGAGCACCGCCCGGAGGCCATGATGAACTTCCTGCGCAGGAAACCATGCAGATTTCACCAGGAGAACCATAAGAAAATCATTATGTAACGTGATATAACTATGGTTATGATAGATGATAATAGAAAGTTATAGATGTTAATAGTTAATATAGTACATAATCTTTACAATGTGGGGCCCCCAAACGTTGTAATTTGGTGACTAATCCCATCCACCGTTCATATTAAACACCCCCTGAACGAAACCATGGGTTTGTTGTAGGGAATTTCCACATCATAGGAACCATTTATGGTGTGTTTTTCATATTTTTTGGGGATGGGATTATACACCCCATGGCAACCACTTCGATATATCTACCATAAACCATACATTTCACCTAGGCAACTAAACCAACTGAACGCAATTTTTTTCTCAACGGGGGCCCCAGTTAAATCTTCAGGATTCCAGGCATCAATGTATCCGATGGTTCACGGGTTCACAATATTTCACAGTCCTGTTGCGCAGCGTTTACCAATTCAACAACATTCCATCAATATGGTTATGAAATGGTTAATGTGATTTAGCTATGATTATGATAGATGATATGGTTATGATATGGCAACATATGTAAGTCATTATAAGTCTTATCAGTCATTATAACATCAACAGTATTACTAATATTAGTACTAATGCTCATAGCGATATTCATATTAGTTAGTTGCTATTACATAGTTGTTATCACACTGATGTTATAGCATGTTTTTTTTTCCGCTATCACTATTACCCTCCAGTTATTTAACATAGCCATGGTATAGATGGCCCATAGAGATAGATGGTTTACCTGAGTTTACCTATTAATAGCATGGTGGATCTTTCTATGGCTATGTTAAATAACTAGATGGTAATCATTTTTGGGTGATTATATCCATATCATGATTATATCCGATGTATCATTTATACCATATGGATTACGAAGGGTGATTGATCACTATTAACTGTTGTAACTAATATGTTTGCCTCTATCCAGTTTTATTCGTCTGATCTCAGTTCCTCAGTTCCCCTCACTGCCAGGGCTTTGATGCTTGTCGCTACATCATCGACACCTTGAAGGCACGGGGAACCCCTATGGTTTTGGAAAAATCTCTCCAATTCCCATAGGATCCATGGTGCTGGTATATATGCTAACATTGGGGGTATATTTATGGTAAATGTTACCATATATATATAGCATACATGGATCCTATAGGATTGTGTTGGTTGTTTAGTTTCTATAAACCCATCCAACTACTTCGCTAAATGATAGAACGTACTGGACATGAAATGAACACCATTTGGCCAACCTAATCAGCTATAAACCAACTTACCTATCTAGGGGACCCTCCCTACAAGATTGTGTGTTTAATTTATAAAGGTATAAGCCCTGGCTTTGGAGTTTCCCAATTTTAAGACTCAACTGTCGGACTGACTGTCGGGGGGTTTCCCCCAGAATCCACCACAATCGATGGTCGGTGTTTTCCGGAAAAACACAATTGTTTGGTCATCCACATCCCAAAGGCTAGATTTTCATAATATATTATCATGGGCTTTACATATATTATTACAGGGATATATTATCATGGTCTATGTTTAAGAACTTCAATCTCCGCGGATTTTCTTTTTTGTTATGCTAGATTTGAAATTTCTAGTAGTCCAATGTGGTGCCATCCATGGTGCCAACGTGTACCCACATTTGGAAGATTTTGACAGAATATTATTCAGTACAGATAATAATAAAGTGGGTACACATTATCAACTGAATAATATTATAAAACACAATACCATGGATATATGTATATATGATAATAAAGTGTAAAAATAAAACACATCACCAACTGCACCTTCGAAAATGACAAAACGGGTCCACCAAGGGCAGGGGAGACCGGTCTCCCGGCACTGAGGCGAGAGTCCCAATTTGGAAGAAGGAGATCTATGCGGATGGAGAAACCTGGAAGGCGCATGGGTACCCGTACCCGGATGAACCCCAAAAAAGGCAGCTGTAGTAGTTGTGGATGTTCATGCCTGCCAAGATGTGGGAACATACTGTATACCGTATAGTCCCCAAATGGTACCCCCAGCTTCTGGGCGTAGGATTACTGGGACTGGGATTAGGATGATCAGGAGGTAATTTGGGGCCATAGACTCATGCACCATAGTAACCATTGTTAATAAATGGCAAGTGTATGGAATTGTCAATTCTTCTGCCTGGAAATTTCCCTCTGCCAAGAACGAGTTGGCAACAAAAACAATGCAGCCAGACATGTTCACTTTCTCCGCTCGCAGGCCAACAAAGAGTGGGATCCTACACATACTTGATCGATTCAGCAGTCAAAAGAGGCGTTGTTGCTAAGCTTTGTGGGTTTGACACAGATCTGTCTAGCAGGTGAAGTTGTAGCTGAAGGTCTGAAGGTCATATGATGATATATTATGCCCATGTGAAGAGTGTGGAGAACTCATATATTTTGAAAAAGTTCATGGCAATGATCGAAATTTCAGCAGATTGGTGCTTGTCTTTCCATGACTTTTCATGGGCTATTTGAATTTCCACTCGTGGTACTCTTTGCATATCGTTGCATCTATTTCGAGCCTTGTTTAGGAGGATGTCCCAGCCTTTAGCCATATATGGTTCGGAACAGTTTTCTCCAGACAAGTAGCAAGTAGCTTGCAGTTTTTTTTTTCAAACGTGTAACCATGATTCTATGCAAAGGACTCAACCGGCTCAAAATCCAAATACTAAGAGCTACGCAAGCGGTGGGTCGCAGGGCTACTGTTGCCATTTAGGTTTGTTCAATCAAGGGGGAATTTACCCCCAAACCATGGCACTTTTCGTGAAATATGATGATAAAGCATGGGATCCAATATAATTTCCCGGGGTTTCCATAGTCATGGGGGTACCCCAATAGCTGGATGGTTTATTTCATGGAACAATTCAAAAATGAAATGAATGATTTGGGCGGTACCACCATTTTAGGACCCCCCCCCCCCAGAAGAGGTGTATTGTTTTGGGGCAATCACATGTAGCTCACTTGCCAGCAGGATCCTTTTTTATGAACTTCATGGCTCAAGCTGCAAACCAGCACATGGCCAGTTGGTCTCTATGGGAGAAAAGAGCGTAGGATGTGACTGCAACTCTGCGACAGCGTCATTGTCCAAAGAAACCATTCATAGGGCAAAAAGCACAGTTGATCCACAAAAAAATCGAATCCCACTGGCATGGACATTTCCTTTGCATAGAGGCATTCTTAATCCCGAAAAGGGAATCTCGTGCGTAGTCCCGGTTGAATCTAGCAATTTGCAGGCAAAGGGGGACGGCAAGGGGGCCAATTCAAACCCGAGGTCATTTCAAATCCATCATTTTCCAAGGGAAACGTCATATTAATAAATAAAATCCATCATATTTCCATGGTTTATTAAAAGTTTATTATCCACTCTCCTCAACGGAAATATGCTGAGCCTCATAATGTGACCATCCCTGGGATCAAAGATATCAAAGCAACAGCTCTCTGGAGCATGGGAAGCTTTTTTTTTTAACACCATGAAACTCGTTGACGCATTGACCAAGCTACCTGCCTTTCGACACATGTTTTATGTTTAAACATGTTGAAACAACAGAAAACTTGTGTGTTTTATTTATTTTTCAATGATGGTTCCGCATGACACAATCCTTAATTATATCCCAACCATTCGGGGAATCTTAGAATTCATCCAACAAATCGGGATTCACCCATAATTAAAAGTTGAACCATAAAAAAAGTATGTATGGCTTATGGCATTGTAGATCCAACCTTTGTTTTCGTTGTTGGTACATGGCGTTGTCTGAAATGGACAAGCTTAGAAATTCAATGGCTTATCATATGATCAGTTATCATCATGTTCCCACAAAATAAAGATGATAAGTTATCATCATTTTTCCCATAGTTCCTCATGAAAGTGTCTGGTTCTCCTGTGGCTATTCCCCCATCTTTGAGTCCATACCAGTAAAATTCTGCTCGGTTCCGAGCGGCCTTGGAACATGATTCCGTGTACAGGGCGGGCCATTTTTCCTATGGGAAACTCAGCCATAAATGGGAAATTCTGGCAAGCCATGTAGAGGGTTCCTGAAATGTGGGGTGCCCCCAGATATCTATGATGTTTGATGATTTTTGAAGGCATTTTATTTTGGTAGGTTTCATGATTTTTGAAATAAACCTTCCAGCTATTGAAAATTATCGGGGTATCCCCATGACTATTGGGGTACCCCCATGTGATGATTGCCCCAACACGGAAAACCGGTGACCCGGAGGCGAAAATGATCCGGCAGAACGAGAACATCAGCCCCAAGGTGCATGTGGATCCAGTCCTTGTAATGTGGTTCATAAGCCTTTTTCGTCATCGTAAGTCCCCGTTTTATAGTGGGATTTTCCCATAATACATATATATATAATTATATATATATACTGTATATATATATATATTACAACTGGGTTTTAAATACGGTTATGAAATGTTATGAACCACTTACCTACTAAGTGGGATGTTGATGATCCTCTGAGTAGGGTGTGGTACTTGGATGATCTTGGCTGTGCATTCCAGTCCGAATAGTCACAGGTTATGTTTTTTTTTCTCTGATCCATATATTGGAGCCATATATTAACAACATTATACTAGTACAATATATCCCATTGTTACTATATATTATATACAACATTGTACTACAAAGTGGTGCCCCCAAGATAGCTAAGTTGGTTTATAACTATACAATAACTAGGGTTTATGGTAGTTATAACTATAGTTAGATTGGGTTATAGACCAACTTATAACGTTTGGGGGACCCAGATTGTAGCTATTTCCCAGTGTTCACAAGGGTTTTTCCTATGTTTTTTTTTTTTTAATGTATGGTGATGACCTACTTTGACCTACTGGGATGAACAACAAAAATGGAGCAGTCAATCGAGTTGGGGATAGAATTAACCAACAAAGTGATAAACGGGGTATGGTGCCAAATTAGATGAATTTTCATGGGACATTATATATATATATATATATATGATGATGATGATGATGATGATGATGGTGATGATGAATAACCATCAAATTTGAGTGTAACCGATGTTCAGACAAAATCCAGACGTCCTTGTCAAATTGCTTGGTTGATTAATAATCGTGACCCAGGTGAATTTTCCATGCTTCACAACTTGTACTAGCAAATGATGATAACTGGTATGCTAGTTTTCGACCTCTTGGTAATTTAAGGTAATTTGCCCATATCCATACATCTAGTTTTGCTGGGCAGGAAAACGATTTCAAGTACAAACGATCCAGCGAATCGCGATGAGTTTATCATCCCAATACAGCTACAAGTTCCCTTTATTAAACTGGCAAGATAGTCATGTGTCTTTGGAACCACTTTGCCATTTTGCGACGACACAGCAAAAACAAGTCAATAGCAACAGACCCCGGAATTGGGTCCTCATTCACATCGCAACGTGATGACCATCCGAGCCACGCTTTCGAGATGTGAGCTGTACAGGGTTCTGACCCATTCCCAAATCAACCCAAGAATTGTGTGATGGTTCAACCACCTTTGTTTGTTTGTAGGTCATGGTTTCTCGGCATGAAATTGGAGGATCCATGCATGTTTGGGTTGACCGTGCAGGCCTGATTTGTGATTCGTTTTGGGTTAGACGCAGCCTGTGCCTGGCAGGTCTTCAATTTGCTGGCGCGGCAACTGACGGCACCTGGGACGGGTCGAAGTCAATGGTAAATCCCGGAATTGTTCAGAGGTGAAAAAACGGGAAAAACCATCCATCGATGGGAGATATGATGAACTTATCAACCAACAAGAGGTGTTGGATGATATGGAACATGAATATTATTTCTCCATATATTGAGAATAATAATCCCAACTGACGAACTCCATCATTTTTCAGAGGGGTAGGTCAACCCCCAACCAGACAAAATGTGTTGGATGATATGGGTTGGTTTGTTGGAGAATCTGTAGGAAACCATAGTTGATTGACCCGCAATCATAGAGCTGTCCCTTAGATTTTCCCTTAAAACCAATCCAGAAATGGCTATGAGTTAAAACCCGATGGCACCTGGATGCTACCCGGATGAATCACTGGTGAAAATTATTGTTTCTTCCCCCCATATCGGTAACAATATATAGGTTTTGAATGGTTTTGACCCATCCCCAAATCATTTCCCGTAGATCTCTACGGCTCGACGCGGCTCGCCGTCACGTCCGACGATCCTGAGGCGTTGCAACAGGAGAAGCTGGATGGCGTTCAGTTTGTTCCCAACCACGAGGAGCGGACGCATCGTGGGTCGGGTCGAACCTAGGGTCAAAGGCAACGTAAATAAATGGACATCGAATACTTGGGAAATTCATCCACATGTGTAAATAAATGTTGATAGATATGCAACATGTATATTGATTGTATGTATGGGTGTGTACATATATATATATATATATATATAATTATATACATATATATATGGTACCCCCCCCATGTACCTACCAAATTGTGATGCCTGGCATTTCATGATTATGTACAGTATTACAACCCCCAAACAGATAGAAAGAGTTTTGTGCATCTTTTTGGGGACCCATATATCCTCCGGTAAACTAACATCGCTATGGAAAGTTCGCCATTTACAGTTGACTTACGAAATAATTAAAATGGTGATTTTCCATACCCTCCAGTAAACTAATTAATAACTCTTGAAAATCATCACTGCTAATCTGGTTGGTGGTTTGGACCATTTTTATTTTTCCATATATTGGGAATCATAATCCCAACTGACTTTCATATTTTTTCAGAGGGGTAGGCCAACCACCAACCAGTCATATAGGTATAAATCTTGGTAAAACAGTCATAACAACTTTATAACTATTAAACTATTAAACATATAACTATTATGGTATATGTCAAATCATCACTATTAAACAGCTATAACTGGGCCATTTTCCCATAGCAAAACGCAGCGATAGCTGAGGACCCCATGGATGTGCAGGCGATTGTGGAGGGACCGACCCAAACCCCGTGGCCTGGCGACTGGCAGGGAAACGACGTTGGGAGGGCCTGGCCCCAAGTTTCAGTGGGGGGTTTTTGTATGGTTTAGTATGGTTAAGTTACTTTGGGAAATCTTCGGGGTCAGTTTTTCGGATTTTTTTGGGGGGTGAAAGTTCTCCGCAAATCGCACGGCGATTTGGGTGAGTTGAGAGTGATCTTCAGGCAGGAGGCGCCGACAAGGCACCTCCGTTTGAACTTGGAAGCCAACAAGTTGCTGAGCGAGTTTTGTGTTATCTTCAATCACCCCAAGCTGCAATGTTCCTGTCTATAGAGATTAAT